GAGTGGTGGTTGAAGAAAGTGGCCCTGGTTAAGGATCTCAGGTCCAACGTAAATGCCAATGTATGACAGGGAAAGAGCGCTCCGATAGAGGCTGGAGGCCCCCAGACATTTTAGGGGCGCTTACGGCTGCCTTTACAAGGCTGGTGACTCTATCCTCATAAAACCAAAATCTCCTTGGCTCCTTAGTGGTCACCTTACAGCCTGAAGGTTCCAGGGAGCTCCAGAGTTTTTCCCTGTGTACTTCTCGGGCACAAGGGGGAGCCAGCGCTCTTTTATCAGAGTCCTACGCCCTAGGTACTGAAGGGCTGGAATGGGTCTGCGATGGGCAAGGTTTGCCTTCCCCATGTCCAAACAGCCAAAGCTGAGGTCTAAAATGGACGGACCCGGGTTTCTAGTGTTCGTCGCACCCCACCACCAGAGGCTGTTCAACACCCCCAGAGTTCCTTATGTCCCCCTTACAAACTAGGGCAGGGGAAGCAGCTCTCACTTCAGGGTCTACTCTGTGGATGTAGCTTTCAATTCTAGTGATGAGGAACCTGCTGTCCTAACTTTCTCTGGGAGTCCTATGTTGGGGATACAACTTTTCCCCTTCCTTTGGAATCACCTAGGTTCCCACTTCTCCCTGCGTGTGTGAGTCCGTGCAGGAGCCAAAGGTATGCGCAGGTGCGCGCACACACAAATCCACACGTTGGAGATGAGGGATACAGAGGTGCTGGGATAAGGTCTGGATCAGTGGCCTAAGAAATGGGTTTGAGGGGCAGGGCGGATGTAAAGAAATAGACCGGTTGTTGGGACCAACCCATGCCACCCGTCTTGTCCCACCTTTAATTTATTGATTCTGATCTACTGAGATCGGAAGGTTAACTTTTCAAAACAAGGCATTTCATTTTATTTCTGAAATCAGAATATGCAAGTGGGTCAAAAGCAGGGACACTCCCTCCCAAAGTACAGAGCCTCTTTTCTCCCACCCTGGGCTGCGGGTGGCCCCGGGAACTGGGCCTCTCCTCCTACTCCCGTGCTGGCGAGTCCACCATGCCTCCAAGGGCTTCACGCGCCCAGAAATACCAGTTCACAGCGGAGTAGGCTCTGGGGCTTCCAGGGGGTCCGCGCTGCGCTTCCGACCTGGCCCAGAGAGGGCGCTCCGGACAGCCTCACAGACCGACGGAGCGGCAGCCAGCCGCGCCTGCGCCTCGGGGATGGAGCACCGACATAGGAGGCTAGCAGGGCTACCGGGATCACCTGTGGGGAAGAGGCAGGGAGAACTGAAGCCAGAGAGAGTGAGGCCATCTGCGAAGAGCCCCGGAAGAGCCAGAGCATTCGGTTGGGAGTCAGAAGCCACTAGGTTGGATGCAAGCCCAGAAGGGAGTTATCAAGACCAGAGATTGTAGTGTGGTGGGTTAAGAACAGAAAGACGCCTTCCCCCGGACCCAGAAAACTCCTATTCATCCTTTAAAACCCAGCTCAAAGGCCCTTCCCCCTCTTTCTTGGCTCCCCTCCTAAACAGACCCCTTTTCTGCACCCCTGCAGCAGCCTTTCCGCACCTCTGTGCCTCCTTGTCACGATCACAATGCCCTGAGAAACAGGGAGCTCGTTGGCAGAACGTCTCTAACTTTGTAAACCCNCTCAGGTCCAAAGTAAATGCCAAAGTATGACAGGGAAAGAGCGCTCCGATAGAGGCTGGAGGCCCCCAGACATTTTAGGGGCGCTTACAGCTGCCTTTACAAGGCTGGTGACTCTATCCTCATAAAACCAAAATCTCTTTGGCTCCTTAGCGGTCATCCTACAGCCTGAAGTTTCCAGGGAGCTCCAGAGCTTTTCCCTGTGTACTTCTCGGGCACAAGGGGGAGCCAGCGCTCTTTTATCAGAGTCCTACGCCCTAGGCACTGAAGGGCTGGAATGGGTCTGCGGTGGGCAAGGTTTGCCTTCCCCATGTCCAAACAGCCGAAGCTGAGGTCTAAAATAGACGGACACGGGTTTCTAGTGTTCGTCGCACCGCACCACCAGAGGCTGTTCAACACCCCCAGAGTTCCGTATGTCCCCCTTACAAACTAGGGCAGGGGAAGCAGCTCTCATTTCAGGGTCTACTCTGTGGATGTAGCTTTCAATTCTAGTGATGAGGAACCTGTTGTCCTGCCTAATTGGGATCCTTTCTCTGGGAGTCCTATGTTGGGGATACAACTTTTCCCCTTCCTCTGGAATCACCTAGGTTCCCACTTCTCCCTGCATGTGTGAGTCGGTGCAGGAGCCAAAGGTATGTGCAGGTACGCACACACACAAATCCACACGTTGGAGATGAGGGTTACAGAGGTGCTGGGATAAGGTCTGGATCAGTGGACAACGAAATGGGTTTGAGGGGCAGGGCGGATGTAAAGCAATAAACCGGTTGTTGGGACCAACCCATGCCACCCATCTTGTCCCACCTTTAATTTATTGACGCTGATCTACTGAGATCGCAAGCTTAACTTTCCAAAACAAGGCATTTCGTTTCATTTCTGAAATCAGAATATGCCAGTGGGTCAAGGGCAAGAACCACCACCCCCCACCCCCACCACCAAAGTACAGAGCCTCTTTTCCCCCACCTGGGCTGCGGGTGGCCCCGGGAACTGGGCCTCTCCTCCTGCTCCCGTGCTGAGTCCACCAAGCCTCCAAGGGCTTCACGCTCCCAGAAATACCAGTTCACAGCGGGGTAAGCTTTGGGGCTTCCAGGGGTTCCGCGCCGCGCTTCCGACCTGGCCCAGAGAGGGCGCTCCGGACAGACTCACAGATGGACGGAGCGGCAGCCAGCTGCACCTGCGCCTTGGGGATGGAGCAACGACATAGGAGGCTCAGCAGGGCTACCGGGATCACCTGTGGGGAAGAGGCAGAGAGAACTGAAGCCAGAGAGAGTGAGGCCATCTGCGAAGAGCCCCGGAAGAGCCAGAGCATTCGGTGTGGGAGTCAGAAGCCACTAGGTTGGATGCAAGTACAGAAGGGAGTTATCAAGACCAGAAATTGTAGTGTGGTGGGTTAAGAACAGAAAGACGCCTTCCCCCGACCCAGAAAACTCCTCTTCATCCTTTAAGACCCAGTTCAAAGTCCCTTCCCCCTCTTTCCTGACTCCCCTCCTAAAAAGACTCCTTTCCTGCACCCCTGCAGCAACATTTCCACACCTCTGTGCCTCCTTGTCACGATCACAATGCCCGGAGAAACAGGGAGCTCGTTGGCAGAACGTCTCTAACTTTGTAAACCCAGTACCAAGCAAGATTCCTGAAACACTGAGTCCTGAGGACTCAGTAAATGTTTGCTGAATGACTAGCTGCCGGCAGGATACCTGCTCCTTCTCATGTGCGAGCTGCATGTGGAAGGAGATGGGAGCAGCCCAAATGTCATCCGACAGTGGCTGGGGAGAGTGGATCACCTGCAGGAGGGTCTGGATGCATCGAGCCTTGGGCTATCCAGAGAACGGCTGTGGAAGAAGCAGTAAGGTCAGTGTCCAGCTAGAAGGCAAAAGAGGTGGTGGGAGAGAGTGGAGGAGGAGAAAGAAGTGGGAGAGTTGCAGGCAGATGCCGGGGATCCTGAAGACTGGCAGCAGAGGCTGCAGAGAAGTGGTCCCCATAGGTGATCCCAAACTCACAATCCCCAGGTGTGAAGAAAAAGGGTTAGTGGTGGGCTTTGATTGGCTGGGTTAAACTGGAGGATTAATGGCAAACTGGTCACACTTTCAGCCGTGTGCCTCCAACCCCATAGGCTTGTCATCTTAAACTGAACTCACTCTTCCCATTTCTTCCTTAACCCTATCCTTCTTTTATACCCTGCCAAGGTGGCTCGTTGGCAAAGCTGTTCCTTTTTGTCACCCTCCCCTCCCCTCCGCTAGCTCAGCACTACCCAAGAGTAATATAATGCGAGCCACAAATGTAACTTAGGATTTCCTAGTACTCCATTCAAAAAGAAACATGTGGAATGCAAAAGAAACAGAAAATTAATTTTAAACATGTTTTATCTCATCCAATATATCTAAAATATTATTTCAACATGTAAATAATATTAAAAATTATCAGTAGGATATTCTACAATATTTTTGTATCATGTCTTTGAAATCCAGTGTCTAGTTTATAATCCCAGCTCATCTCAGTTCAGGTACTGAATTTCTGTGTAAAAGTAAAATGTAGTTCTATCAAAACAATAAAGTTGCATTTAACGAAGAAAATTACCCTGCATCAGTTTTTAAGCAAAACTTCAAGTTCAGCTCCTCGGACACGCTAGCCACATTTCAAGGGCTCAGTAGCCACATATGGGTGGTTGCTGC